ATATTCTGGATCTCATCTCTTTTAAGTTATTCATAAAGCATGAGAGTAGATTCATGACCTATTCTCTGAGCCTAGGATCGATCAGAGCCACGAACGAGAGTGCTGTATCAGAACATCAGTACCTAGCTTCAGAAGAACATAGTCGCTATAGGAGTCCAGAGCTACCTATAGAGAAGATGTGAGCAGAAGAATTCAATATCTAATGCATGATCTTAAGTTTAGCATGAGAGCGAGAGTTAATTGCTAGATCTAAGAGATTAGTTGATTACGGTGACGACAGTTAGTCAATGCAGATTCCCAGAAACAGATGAAGATAAATCGTCCGGAAGCTAATTGGAAATGCCATCATACATCGATTAGAGTAACCCAGAGAAGTCTAAATCGTCACCTATGAGTTTAAGAGTCTTTAGTTTGAGTCGAAATGCTTTAGATGTTCTTTTAACAATTCATCCTGCATTGCATTTCTTGTGAATATTAGATTAGGTTTAGTTTAGGATCTTAACCAAAAACTCCAAAACCTTTTATTAGTTTATGACTTTGCTTACTTCCCAGTTTGTTGTTTCTCGCAGATTAGACATCCTCCCTGTGGATCGACACCCTAAGTTCTACAACGTACAGTTGTTTCTCGCCACTCTGCAAGAGCACAAATGTGCAGTTGTAGTATTGCAGGGGTCAAACCACAGAGTCAAGAAGTTCACCCAATAAACCTATTGAATTCGAATTAAGCTAAGCAAGATGATGAGAATTAAAATAACAATGCAGTAAAAACGTTTATAAAACTCGGATGGATGGAAATTAGGTTCAGGGCATTTCTCAGGAAATCAAAGAATGCAGATAGATCGATTATTCAGTGTTCAGGTTTAAGCACGGTTCTTGAAATCAAATCACGAAATTATAATTTACCAACTTCCGTTGTGAGAATTATCTAAGTCTAAATCTCAGAATCCCAAATTCCTTTGCAAATCCTAAAGATATAAACCAGCTTTAATGCTCAAGTTTGATATGTTCACAAAGTATCTAAACCAAATTCATTTGCGAATAGCTACTTTGCTCACCTTAGGTTCTTTCCACTTATTCAATTACACTTCCATGTCAATCAAGTATCCTAATGATCTAAGTTCTAGGTGATCAGTCCAGAATTAGCCTTAAGAACAACCTATGGTGAAGAACTAACAGGATTATGAACCCTAACTAATCAATCAATCAAACAATCAGAGAAAACCTTAATGAGAACCCTAAACCTAAAAAGCTAACTACTCAGACATGGATATTGAATTAACACACATGATTGAATAGATTGCAAAATAAGATGAATATAGCAGATAAAAGGGGTTCGAAATCTTCTCACAAAAACGAACAGAGTTCAGACTTATCTCCCCAAGCTCTCAAAATCATGACAAAGCCAAAGCAAAAAATGTTCTCTTCGAAAATCTAAGGTATCGATATATGGTGGCTAAAAACCCTAATAAATACTAAAAAAACATGTGTTGCGCTTCGTTGTAAATATTGGAAACTTCTGGGCCCAAGAGATTCTTTAAAACTTGGACAGAATCACGTTTTCCTTATTTCTGCGATCAGTGTCGAGTGACACTCTCCATGGTGTTGAGCAACACCAAGGCACATGATTCATCCTTCACGAAATTGATCTCTGTTTAGCTCCAATGTGCTCAAAAATCTCCAGTTAAGCTAAGCTCCAAACGTACCTAAGACCTGAGACTCGAAAAACACTAAAAATACTCTATAAACAAGACTTATATCATGGTCAAAAATCATAAAAACCATGATATATCACCCACGGTAAAACAATAAGTGTCTACGTCTCCAAAGCCTCGACCGCGGCAACTTAAGATTGACCATGACTCACTGCAAGGTAAGTGCACCTGAACATTTTAATTCCATTTATACACCATCATCTCATAGATTTTTCACACTTAGAACAGTGTGATTTAAATCTAATGAAGGATGTTCATCCATTACTTACGAAAATTGTTTTGTTTTGAGGTTTTTTTTTCTTAAAAAATAAAAGTCAAGCCCTCATCAGTGTGCAAATTATAAGGGAATGGTTTCAAAGTAGCCCAGATTGGTGCTCTCTACAAGAATGGATGATATAAATTGAAAGAAGCCTTCCATTCGAACAAAAAACGGTGAGTCTCACTTTACTGCAGAGAGAAGATGAATGAATATGGAACAGAAATACATTATTGGTGAAATTATGAATTGTTACCCTACAGTCCTTTCCCCAAAGATAATTCAACACATCCTAAACCTTGCCATATGATAGAGCCTTTCCGTGAAAGAAACCAATGATATAGTCGGACGAGCTCCTCTCTCAAACACAGCGTTTGGATCTCAAGTTTAAAAAAAGATGTTATCACTTATAAAGATATAAAAAGTTGGATCTCTAGTTAGCAAACATATATTTCACCAAATAAAGAGTGTGTTACCTTATGGGGCACTTATGTAAACATAATACCGTCTATAAGTACTTTTCATTTAAGACACACTTTTGACACGTTTTTGACACCCCTCTATTTAACACATAATTACTAATCTTTATTTTCTCTTTATTTAATATAATATTAATATCACATATCCTCTATAATTATTGTCCTTATTTATTTATTTTTTACAAAAATAATTGAATAATTATTTTGATAATATAATTTTTTTCTTAATACTTTGATATCAAATTTATAATTTTTGACTTAAATTGTTTTGTCGTCTATTGATAGAATACATGCATATCCATATACTAACGTACATGTGGACATAAATATATAGATATCTATGCGGGTCCACTATATATGATATATATGGATGAATTTACATGTGTCTCCATATAATTGTATATATATAGACACAATTATATAGATACACATATTTATTCACTTGCATATGGCATAGGTGGATGTAACCATATAGATACATATACATATTTACATATGTATCTATATGGTAGCGTACTCATTAACACTAATATATGGATATCTATGAAGATCCATATAGATATGACATATATAGATGTATCTATATAGATGCTCATGTATATTTATATGTATTTCTATATAATTACGTATATATCGACACAATTATATAGATACATATGCATTCTACTTGCATATAGCCTACGTGGATGTAACTATATCAGAGCCGTGCCTGAGATTTCTCAGACTACAAGCGAGCAAAAAATATTGGCCCCTTAATCCTTTAAATAAAAAATATTGTAACGAAAAAACATCAGCTTTATTTGATATCAAAAGACAGTAGTAATATCCATACATTATTTAGGATTTTTATGAAACATGACTCTTCGTACAGTTTTACTTGCAAACTCATCCATCAAGCTTGTATAATCAAGTTCTTTAACCATAGCCCTTTCGATTGACAAGATCGATAGTCCGTTCAGCCTTTCTTGTGACATAGTTGATCGTAAATACGATTTTATGAGTTTCAACTTTGAAAAAGTTCTTTCTGCAGTGGCAACCGAAACTTTAAAACTTGGACAAATTTTAAGATAGAGTTAGCTTGAGATTTGTCCTGCGCATATGCTATTCTCTTTCTCTTTCTTTTTGATGCACCGGTTTCTTCCGTTTTTAAGGATTTCAGAGGCATTTTTTTGTTAAAAAAAACACAACTCACTTGAATAATTAATTACTTTTTTAGTAATAAGTAATTAATTATTTCTTATTCTCTTTCTCTTTCTTTTTGATGCACCGGTTTCTTCCTTTTTTAAGGATTTTAGAGGCATTTTTTTGTTAAAAAAAACACAACTCATTTGAATAATTAATTACTTTTTTAGTAATAAGTAATTAATTATTTCTTTTCAAATAAAACTCTTTTTAATGTAGCTTAATCCACAAATAATAAATTGTGAAAACACACAGAACCCATTAAGATATTTAATTATTATTTTTAGATAAAGAGTTTTATTTATAGTGCAGCTTCCCCTTTCAAAATTTTGAAGTAGTCGATGTGAGACACTTCTAAATGGGCTTAAAATTTTTTTTTTTTAACAATGGGCCGATTTTTTTAAAAAGAACTATAAATGGCAAACATGTGGAGAGGTGAAATCGAACTCCACATCGGCGCGGAAAGCTATAACACTCTCCCCTTCCCACAAACCGATGAGCTAACATATCTTTTGAAAAATTGGCCCCTAAAACATATTTAAGTCTTTGGCCCTGAAGCAGATGCTTCATCAACCTGTACTCAGACACGGCTCTGAACTATATGAATATATATACATATAACACCATTATACAAAACTACAAATGTACAAATATATAAACATAAAAATAAAAAGGATGAGAAAATTCAAATCAAACCTACATACTTTGCACTTCCCATGCTGGTATTTTCTTATTGTTGGGTTTCGTTTTCTATATTGTTTTAAAAATTATTTTAAAAATGAAATGATGTAAGATTAAATGAATGGTAAGACCATCTTCAATGTAAGATTAAATGAAGAGTAAGTATGTAAACAATTAAATATTAATATTTTAATATAATATAATTATATAATTAAATTTTAATTCTAAAATTTAAAATTACCCAATGAAAAAATAACACATGTAAAACTTTTAAAAGATGAAGTTTTTAAACAAAAACTTGAAAAACTCTCTTTCTTGCTTTTTTATTTTTTTTTTATTTTAAATTTTGAAAATCTTTTTAAGAATTTCTATTAGAGATGCTCTAAGGTTGTCCAAAATGGGAGCAAAATATAAGATAAGTGCCCAATAACTATTTGATGTATATAATGGACATAAAAGTCTGGATAAATGTCTTTAATGGTAACTATCTCCCAAATGAAAGGCATTTGAGAAAAAGTGATGCAATGAGGTCCAGACACGGCTGATTTTAGCTGTAATGTTGGTAGGTCCTAAGAAACTCACCGTCCAACCACATCACTAATTAACAACTACGAAATGTCCATCTTATTTTCCCTTTTTATGTTATTATATTCCATTAACTTTATTTGAAAGCCAAAAAAAAAGTTAATTGCCAACTTATTCTTCTTCTTTTTTTTCCACACATTGCTAACTTATTCATATCATATATTCGACAGAGACGAAAAGGAAACACCAAAAACCCAGAAAAAACCACCACCGAAAATATACCTCTCGCTTTCTCTTGCAATCATTCAACTCAAACAGAAGAAACTTCTCTCCAGCTTCAGCAATAATACCAGTTTGGGTTTCTGTTGTGGACTTTTAAGGGCTTTGCTAGTGTTTGATCCGAAGACTCTATGTCGTTGTCGACCTGATTCTCGCTTTCGCTTCGGTTTGTTCTCGATGACCTGAATCTTCCTATCTTCTTTGATTTTTCTGATAATTATCAGATGAGAAGTTCTGGGTTGGTTCTTCTTAACTTCTACTTCTCCTTCGTCTTCTTCAATCCGATTTTGACAGGTACAGTATCCTCAATCCGATTTCGATCGATTTTATACATTTAGGTTCTTATGAGAGTTACAGCTTTTACATCAGCCCTAGTCTTCATATGATGATTCGGAGTTAGGTTTAGTCTAGATTTTAACTTGAACCTGTTGGGTTCTGCTAATTACATCAGGAAATTTTCTGATGAAAATCTATCGTTTATGATTCCAATAGATTGTTACTATCGTGATTGTCACTTATGTACATCTTCTCAGTTTATAGATTCTGCAAACTCTTATTTGCTCTTACTTTGTATCCAGAGTTTCAAGTTGAGGGAGCATTTGTTGGAACTTATGGGATAAATTATGGAAGGATTGCGGATAACATCCCGTCGCCGGATAAAGTAGTTTTACTTCTAAAGCAAGCTAAAATTCGGAATGTGCGTATATACGACGCTGACCACAGTGTACTTCAAGCTTTCAGTGGGACTGGTTTAGACCTTGTGGTTGGACTCCCAAATGGGTTCTTAAAAGAGATGAGTTCAAATACCGATCATGCATTCACTTGGGTCAAAGAGAATGTTCAGTCTTTCTTACCGAAGACTCGGATCCGCGGTATCGCAGTAGGAAATGAAGTTCTCGGAGGCGGTGATTCGGAGCTGTCGGGAGCCTTACTGGGTGCAGCTAAAAATGTCTACAATGCGTTGAAAAAAATGAATCTGGAGAAAACTGTGCAGATCACGACGGCTCATTCACAGGCTGTGTTTGCTAATTCATACCCGCCGTCGTCCTGTATATTCAAAGAGAATGTTGTTCAGTATATGAAGCCACTGTTGCAATTCCTTAATCAGATTGGCTCTCCATTTTGTTTGAACGCGTACCCCTTTTTGGCGTACACTTATAACCCGACTGAGATCGATATCAACTATGCTCTTTTCAAGCCGACGGAAGGCATATATGACCCGAAAACTGATCTACGTTATGACAACATGCTTGATGCTCAGATTGATGCCGCCTACATGGCACTGCAAGATGCTGGGTTCAAGAAGATGGAGGTTATTATTACTGAAACCGGATGGGCTTCTAAAGGCGATTCAGATGAACCTGCAGCAACACCAGAGAACGCAAGAACTTATAACTATAACCTCAGGAAGAGGCTTGCAAAGAAGAAAGGGACACCTCTTAGACCAAAAACAGTACTCAAAGCATACATCTTTGCATTATTCAATGAAAATTCAAAACCGGGGAAGAGTTCAGAGACACACTTTGGACTGTTTAAGCCTGATGGAAACATATCATATGATATTGGATTCAACAGTCTGAAGTCCGATGCTGCCAAGAAACACTTTTCATCGTCAAAGGTATGAATACTCTGCTTGGAGAAGCCATGGTATACATATCAGATGATATTGGATTCAGCAGTCTGAAGTCTATTTGGCATTGACCAATCCATTATGTATGATATCTTGCGCATGAATATAAAACCGACTTTATATTCTGATTCAAGCTAATGCATGGTGGCTATCTTGAGTAACAATCTCTTATGTGTTTCGTTGCAGGCAGCTCGTTACTATGTGGCATTAGTAATCTCTGTCTCGGTATTCCTCCTGATGATATAATTGCAGCAATGGTTTGAGCTTTCACGGTTGGATCCTCGGATTTTGTCATACATTCTTAGAAATATGATATACTGTACTTTACTAGGAGTGAAAGGCTAACGAATTGGTAGGAGCACAAATTTATTGGAATTTTCATACATCGTAGCCAAGAGATATTCAGAAAATACATCATCAGACAGTTTCATATATTATTCTTATGTAAACAAATTTATACATAAATTTGGGTCATTGCTTAGGTTTAAGGGTATCAGAGGATTTATGGATATTGTGTTTCTTATAAATTTACGATTATAGAAGGATAATACCAATTCTACAAGGCTCAAAGCAACAAAATTCAAAAAAGGAGTTCATCCTCCGACTGTATTCTTCCTGGACCACTGAACCAAGGCAGCTTATATGCTGCCCATCTCAGCCCCTCTGGCCTCCTTGCGTTTGCCTCTGGCTCTTCTATCTCTCTTGTCGACTCACACTCTCTCCAGCAAATTTCCACCGCCTCTCTCCCTTCCCCTCTCTCTTTTGCAATTTCTACGTTTACCTCCGTTTGATGGGCTTATGTCCCTCGCCGGCGTGATGGCTTCTCCGCCGATCTCCTCATTGCAGTAGTTGATCACAACGGCCGCATAGCTCTTGTGGGATTTTCGCGTCCGTTCTGTCTGTATATGACTTGGACAAAGTTGTGACAACACAAGAGGAAACATCCTCGTTTGTGGCAGCGTGAACGACCTCTGTTGGGGTATTGGCTGGGCCGGAAACCTACGTCTGGGCCGGAAACCTACGTCTTTTCTCTCGCTTTACCTGGATTCTGGATATATCTTCTGGAAATATGATGCATCTCCGGAGTTCAGATATGACATAGATCGGCAGCATATAAGTTGAATCACATCCTCTTCGTCACCTTTCCAAGAGACCTTGTCGTGTTTGATTTACTGTACCAAGCAGCCCTCTACGTACGAGATTGCGCCAAGTTTGTAGATGTTTTGCCGGACCCAAGCCAGAAGTTTACTGATTTCACCTCGATGGCAGGCTCAGCATTTGGAGACGGAAAGAGTGAGCCAACCTCATCTCATTCCCTCTTTGTAGTTCCATGTCTTATGTGGAATTGAAAAGTTGTAGACAGAGATTGGTAAATATATACCATCACTCTCTTCTGTCTCTTATAATCCTCCTTCTCTTCCGTCTCTTATAAATAAAACTAGATAAAAATTGTAAGAGAGGGTAAAAATTAGGGGTTTTTGCTAAAAATAATATAAAATTTGATTCTGAATATAAAAGTAGATCATTGATATAATATTTGACAAAAATAATTTAAAAGGATAATGAAAATATAATATAATCCTGTATGACCAAAAAAAAATGGAAATCTTAATTACGATTTAAGCTATGACGAAGTCTACTAAAAAACTATTAGAAGTTTACTAGTAAATTTTTATCAAAGCTTATGAAGTCTACTATGTAACTAAATCATAAAATTTAATTTTAAAATTAACTAAAAAATAATTTTTGTTTCAAATTTGTAATCATAAATAGGTATTGGTAATCCTTAGATATATAAACTATTATTTCTTATTTATAAGTTTAAATTTATGGTTTCAAATTAAGAAGAGCAAAATATTTAATTTAGAATTTACACTTAGCAGACTTCAATATCTAAACCGAATAAAATAATTTTATCGAAAATTAAACCGAAATTAAAAGAGATAAAATTATCCAAACCGAGATTTAATCATAAGAAAACCAAAACTTAGTTACCCTAACAAAAAAATATCAAAAATTGAACCAAAATGTTTAACCTACCCAAAAAAATTCTCTCTAGTATAAAAGTTATTTTGGTAGAAAAAATAACATTGTTGAAACCCTAGCCGTTCTTCTTTTCTTCGTCTCATTTCTCTCTTCTCCGAACCTCCATCAACGAAGACAGCCAAGCAATGTTCACCGAAACACTCACCACCTATCAGAACCATGATCTCGTGGCGTTAATTTTGATCCAAGAGTCGCCGGAAAATAACTTTAATTTGCTCTCGCCGCTCTGATTCGCCGGAAACTAACTTTGCTCTCTCTCTCCTTCTCTCTCTCTCCCTCTCTCTCTCTCTCCCTCTTTCTCTCTCTCCCTCTCCCTCTCTCTCTCTCTCCCTCTCTCTCTCTCTCTCTCTCTCTCTCTCTCTCTCCCTCTCTCTCTCTCTCTCTCTCTCTCTCTCTCTCTCTCTCTCTCCCTCT